CTTTAAGATGGGTGGAAAATAAGGAAGTTCAAGAACTTTTTCATTTTTTAAATCCAGCATTAATTTTACCAGGACGTAAAACTTTAGGAGGACGTATATTAAATGATGAATCAAAAATTCTTGAAAATGAAATGACTAAGAAATTAATGAATGATTCTGTTGGTGTTACTTTAGCCTTTGATGGTTGGACTAATGTGTTAAATCAGAATATTCTTGGCTCTGTTTTTATTACATCAGAAGGGGAAGTAATAATTTGGAAAGCAGTAGATGTAAGCAGTGAATTAGAAAGATGGAAAGAAGTTATTGAAAAAACTGAAACAATGTTTAAGAAAATTAATTAAATGGGAGTTAATCTTATTTCTGTTGTAACTGATAGTACTCCAAGTTATGCTGCTGCACGGTATATTTGCATATTTTTTTAAAAATTAAGTTATTAAAATATTTATTTAATATTTTATGTAAATATTAATTATATTTTATATTTTAACAGACGTAGGCTTCGACTTAAATATCTGCATATTACGTTTCTTCCATGTTTTGCACATCAGATGAATCTTTTTGTAGGCGAAATCTTTAAAGAATCTGAAAAATTTAAGCAAGCATCAATAAAGGCAATAAAAATTGCACTTTACTTTAAATTATCACTTCATAAATATTTTATTGGACAGCTTCAAACTTTACAAAAAGAATCATATGGAAAATATGTTCAAATCGCTATTGGAAATGATACAAGATGGAATAGCCATTATGAATGTTTTCGCACTTTAATTAAATCAAAAGGAGCATTACGGGTATTATAATGTATTTTTATTTATTTTTATATAACATTTGAAAATAATTTATTTCTATTTTTCTAAAGACTTTAGGTTCAAAATTTGAATCTTCCGAGCAATCAACATCTCATCAAAGTTCTGATAATATATTATATCTACCTAATAATATTTCTTCTATTCTACTTGACAAAACCTGGTGGCAATCACTTTCAAAACTTGTAAAAATACTTAAACCATACTGTATAATTTTGGATATTCTACAATATGATAAAGCACGACTGCATGAAGTACTGCATGGATTTGGATATTTTATAAAATTTTGGAAAGATTATGATGATATAGAACTTAGTGAGAAAATACTTGATCGACTTCAAACAAGATGGCAAAGTTTGGAACAGCCACTTTTACTTTTATCATGGCTCTTACATCCTAAATACAAGATGTCAAAATTTAAAGATAATATCCCAAATTTAAATCATGTATATCTTAGTAAGTGGCTAATTTATTATTACGAAGCTTGGACGAAAACAATTTCAAAATCAATTTTACGTGAATATGAAAATTTTAGAAGAGGTATATATCCTTTTGATGAACAAATAAGTAATCAATTTGAAGATGATATTTTAAAATATTGGGGATTTGTTGTTCCATTAGCAAAAGAACTTGGATATGTCGCACAACGAATTTTTGGAATTTGTATTAATGCAGCATCAGTAGAAAGGCTTTGGTCAAATATGGGATTTCTACATACAAAAGGCGCAATAGATTAAATGTAAGTAAAATAATATTATTTTAAATCTATAAAAAAATTATAATTTAATGTAATAATAAATAATTTATTTTTTAAATAGTATGAAAAAACACTTAAAATGAGCAAATTACGTGCTGCAATTTCATATAAATATAGGGTTGATGAAGTGAAAACTATTTAACAACAAAAAATGAAAGAAAATATTGCTGAACTAATAGTTCCTATAATTATTAATAGTAATGATAATACAAATTTAGAGAATCAAGAAAAAAATCCTATTAACTTAGAAATCCAAAAAGGAAATTCTAACACTCAAGATGATGATTCAGATGAAGAAGGTGAAAATAATAAATTCCAGGTTTCATTAAATTGGAATAATCTAATTAATACATGGAGGTAATTATTATTACAGGAAAAAGAAGCAAAGTTGAGTGCTGTAACTGATTTACATTGTGATGATGATATAAATATTGATAAATTTTTATTAAATAGAACACATCCTGCATTAGATAATGAAGCTAAATGGAATATAAGAGACATTTTTATTGATAATTTAGATGTCCCATTTTTTGTTAATGAAAATACTTCAAATTAACTAAATTTATAATAAAAATGAATTAAATAATTGAATTTAAATGTTACAAATTTTAAGTAGTTACTTTTTTTTAATATTTATATATATAAATTTTTGGCCATTTTTTGGCCAGCCAAAATTTAAAACTTGGCCATTTGGCAATGGCCAAGCCTGGCCAAACGGCCAATGGCCAACACTGATTTAGTTAGTAACTAGGTATTATTAAATTAATAAAGCGAAAAATAAAACGTATAAAAATTTAAGCTATCCGTTATATAATTGATATATTTATGTGCTTCGAGAATATATCTTAAAGTTCATTTTTTTCAATAGTATTCAGTTGTTTCTCCGCTTATTGTTTCTTGTTCTTAGAAAATAAAAATACATACAAATATAGAAATTCAAATTAATAGTAAATAGAAATATGACACGTAATCTATTTACAGTTATTCATTGTAATATATCCCTTAGTAGGTGGATGTTGCTCCCGATGTTTAACAGTTGTTTAACATATGACTCATGTGATGATCAACGAAAAAAAGAAAATTTGGCCGTATACAAATATGCATATAACATCAGTGTAACAAATATAGTAGTTTCATACCCCGTAAAAAAAATTTATACTATAGAATTCAGGATTGAATTTTATTTTTGTCATACTTTATAGAAGACAGAAACCACTATTACAGACATTGCAGGAACAAAAAAAAACAAAATTTGCGATTTCATCGGCTGACAATTACTTGGAGAACCGGAGAAACCACAAATTTTCATATTTGCGTGACATGTCAAATATGTCGAATAGGTATATAATAATAATAAGTGAGACCACATCCAATATAGTAATATTAAACAACTAGGAAACAGAAACTGTTGTAAATCCGGAGCGAAAGATTTTGTACAAAAATCCAAATATCTTTAAAAATTCAATTTGTACAAAAAATCTGGCGTCCCTAAAAAAAATAAAAAATGAAACGTTAGAAACGTTTCTTTAAAGTCAAACAAATAAGAAAATCCCCTCTTCACAATTTACCTTTAAAAGTCCTGCATATACAAAAAACCCGCGTCCCTAGAAATAATAATAAATGAAACGTTAGAAACGTTTCTTTAAAGCAAAACAAATAAAAAGACAACTTACCAGTCCAGTATATACAAGAAATCCAGAAACCCTAGAAAAAGAATAAGAAATAAATCAAAAACATTCCTTTGAAGTCAATTAAAAAAATATATACTCACTAGCCGAAACCAAACAAAAAAAGAGATTATCAGGTAATCATGTTTATCATAAACTTATTATGATTATTATTACACTTGTTTATTTTTGAAGTAGCACAAAATTTCAATGACACAATCTGTGCAGACCAATCAGAAATGACGCGTGTGGACAAACAGACATCGCCACGTGATCCAATATGTCATTAAGGTTCATAAACATATATAGTCCTTCGCTTCACTCTGGACAATTACCTAGATGGCTAGACTTTAACTTTATTGTTTTCAATACCAAATTTTTTATGTTTGGTAAAAATACAAAGTTTATTCAGTTAATTTAACGTAAGTATTTTCTGATATTGCAATTTTTTTTATTATCACACACAGGTCGAAAAGTGAAAAATCAGGCATCAATCAGTCACCAATCAGTCACCAATCAGGTACCTGATTGGTGACTGATTGGTGACCGATTGGCATTTTCACCAAATACCGTCACCAATCAGGCAGTTTGCTAACTTTTGATCCAGTGATCAGAAAAAGATGAAATATAGCTCATTGGAATCGTCTCAACAAGACGAATCTAATGGTAGTAAAATCGCATCTCTAGGATTAATACTTGATGGGAACTTAAGTAAAATATAAAAATGAAAATATATCATTTATATTTTATTTAATTTTTTATTAACTATCAATCCTAGAGATGCGATTTTACTACCATTAGATTCGTCTTGTTGAGACGATTCCAATGAGCTATATTTCATCTTTTTCTGATCACTGGATCAAAAGTTAGTAAACTGCCTGATTGGTGACGGTATTTGGCGAAAATGCCAATCAGGCACCAATCAGTCACCAATCAGTCACCAATCAGCTATCTGATTGGTGACCGATTGGTGTCTGATTTTTCACTTTTTGACATGTGACACACCAGGTGACACCAGCTGACTCAACTGGGCTGACTGTAGGAAGGCGGGGTCCCAGTGTAGTACTTGTGCCCGTCATCATGACGTTGCCACCACAAGCTAAAAAATAATCCTTTATTAAATACAATAAAATATTAATATATTCTGAGTTTCATAACAAAATAAAATAATGGAAATAATAAATTTCAAAATAATGCTACTCTAAAACTATTCCCTTATATTTTAAGTCCTAAAATTAAACTGCGATAATTTTCCCTATTAATAACCCCAATAAATCATTAATTATAATAATTAATGTGGCTCTTTTTCATCATAAGAAAAAGGCAAAAAGGGTCGAATAATTAAAATAGTAGTATAATAATCTAATTAATTTCTTGTCCAAAAAAACTAAACAACCTAAGGTATATTTATACCTTTTAACATCGCTCTAAATTCTAAATAAAGACTACTTCCATTAAATACCAATCAAAATAATAATAATTTCTAAAATAAAGTATCGAACCAATCCTTCTATGAAATATAGGATAGTAAATGATCAACTACACCCCTATCGTCAAAATTACCATTAATGATTCTCAATACAAATCACCAATAAAATTCTATCTTAGTTTACCGTCATCGCAGACCATAATTAATCCCTTAATAGTACCCATTTGATGATAGTTTAAGGTCATTCCGGACCGCAGTAAATAAAAATATTTTATACACTTAAACAAGTTGCCTTAGTTTCTGACAGGGCGTTTCTAAACTGTTTAATGTGAAGCAATAACTTAAAATGAATAATACTAATAAAAACATTGCAGAACTTTTTACAATCGAAACCATATTGTGACTAAGTCGAAAATTTATTGTAGACCCATAACTAAGATTTGGTCACGATATGGTTTCATATCGTCATGATAAGATTAAGTTGATAGTATGTATAAAGTTGATGTATATTAAAGAGATCATCACTGGGTCTTGTAGAAATCGTAAGGTCATATTAAAGTTACAGTTAAGTTATATTAAATGTATATTTAAGTTATAGTCAAATTGTATTAAATGTATATTATAGTTATATTATGTAGATAGTAAATAAATAGTATAATTATATTAAAGTTATATTATGTAGATAGTAAATAAATAGTACAATTATATTAAAGTTATAGTAAAATTTTATTTTCGAAGTTGTAAAATAAGCCATTAAGTAATAATAAAGTTCCTATTCTAAGCTAATTAACCCTAACAATCATAAACCCTAACAACCATACTTCTCATATTCAAAAAGAAGAAATCTGACTGGAACCTGCAAAAATGTCAAGAGAAAGAAAATTAATAAAATGTTTCTTAAATAAAATTACCCCAAATTCACACTTCCCGAAGAATGGTCCAGTCAAAATTAAGTTCAAGTCTGTTCTAAAAAACAAGTCCAATTCTTCCAAATTCACCACACCTAAAGAAAATCCAAGTTCAAGTCTAAAATAAAAAAAATTCAAGTCAGTTCAGTGCTGAATTCGCCACACCTACTAAGGAAAATAAAACCTAAATCCATCTTTAAAAACTTACAAAAAATAAAATTAGCAGTTGAATCAAAGCAACCTATTAAAAGAAAATTTGAATCCAAAGCCATAGTTGAATAAATCCACAAGAAAAAATTCTAAATCCAAATTCTAAGTCTGAATTCAAAGCCAAAGTCAAAGTCAAAGTTTCTAAATGGGCGTCTTGGGCCTACAAGAAAAAAAATGAAATGTTAGCAAAACGTTTTGTAAAAAAAAGTAAATTTGAAGGTATATCGATATATATACCTTTAAAATAGGAATCCGGTCACATCTTAGACCTACAAAAGAAAAAAATGAAACCGTTAGTAAAAACGTTTCATTAAAAAAAAAATAACAATAAATTCGAAAGTCTATACCTTTAAAATCTCATATACCAATCCCAGATCCTACAAAAAAAAAGTAACAAGAAACGTTAGTTAATGTTTCTAAAAGAAAAATAAAAAAAACTTAAGTTTCATTGAACTTCAAAACTTACCCCTAATATATTGCATATCAGATGAACTGAATAAAACGAAAGATGCTGACCAAAAATTGAAGAGACCTACAAAATAGACAAAAGAAGAAATGATTAGTATCTTTAAAACAAAATTAAAAAATAAATTTAAAAAAAGTTTCAAAATGAACCATTTTGAAACTTACTAATCCTATCATCTCAAGATCCAGGAAGCTCAATTTTACTGATACCTGCAAAAAAAGAAAAAAAATCAAAAAAAAAAAATAAATATAAATTTTAAAAAGTTTTGAAGCAAAGATTTGCTTTGAAACTTATCAATTTATTCCAAGACGCCAATCTATAGCAGGGTACCGTCCTACAAAAAAGAACACTGAGACCACAATGTTGAGAAATCCAACATCCAAAGTTCAATGCCAAAAGAACCGGATGCCTACAAAAAAAGATAAAATAAATTAAAAATGTTATTACAGATTAGATAAAGCCAAAAGAACTGATACATACAAAAAAAAGAGAAATTAAAAAAATAAATTAAAAAAAAAATGGTTTGAATTTTCGAATTGAAACTTACCAGACCCAAGTCCCAAAGCTGAAGAAACTAATATCTACAAAAAAAAAAGAAAAATAAATTAAAAAAGAAAAACTAAACAAATTTTTTAAAAAAAAATTTGAACCTCCATTGAGTCCATGCATTCGAAGATAGCAAGCAGCCTACAAAAAAAAGAAAAAAAATGGAACCTTCATTGATAGAATTATTTACAAAAAGTCAAAAACTTCCTTACCAAATTTCTCTTCTTATAATCCAAGCCAGCGCTCAACAAAGAATACGAAAAGAAAAATTAGTTCATTTTCCATATTTAAAATAAAAAAATCCTCTTCCCCCTTTCCCCATTTCTTACCTTAAAGTCCAGTTTCGTGCATTCTCCTACGCGTTCTACAAAAAAAATAACAAAAAAAAATTAGTTTATTTCTTAAAAAATAAAAAGAAAATAAATCCCCTTCCGTTTCTTACTTAAAAGTCCGGTTTAGTGAGCTGGCTTCCTTCAAAAAAATAACAATGAAAAGAAACATTAGTTTGTTTCTTAAATTAAAAAATAAAGAAAATAGATTTTAAAAAGTTTCAAAGCAAATATTTGCTTCAAAACTTACCAATTCATTCCAATATGTTGATCTACAGCAAGGTACCATCCTACAAAAAAGAACATTGAAGCCAAATGGCGTCCAACGTCAAGAAATCCAACTAAAAAGTCCAATGCTGAAGGAACCAGATACCTGCAAAAAAAAGATAAAATTTAAAAATAAATTTAAAAAAATTATTAGATAAGTTTCAAATAGAAACTTAACATATTGACATATCCGAATCTAAGCTGAAGGAACAAAAAAAAAAAGATACATATTTTTTTTTTTTAATTTATTTTTTAAAATTTTAAGTTTCGAAATGAAACTTACAGTACTTCTAGTGCTCTGAAACACGTCGAGTTGACTCACGAGTTGGTCGAGTTGAGTCGAGTCAAGTCGAGTTGAAAATTACAATCAAATCGATTCGATTCGAGTCGAGTTAATAATTTAATAAAATCGAGTCGAGTCGAGTTAAGCTGAATTAAACATAATTCCGGCCAAATTTATGGAATTTCCTTTTTTGGAAATTATGTTACACAAAATCCGAGACGAAAAATTTTTGAAAATTACAAAAATGGAATTTTGTGGAACGGCTATCGCCAAAAAAGGAAATGATC